ATTTATATTGTTCAATTTTTTGAAAAGATCACTTCTTGTCCTCAAGATCACTTCTTAAGGACAATATGAATGTATGTTTAGTCATAAATATAGATTTGAAAAATAACAGGATACAATGGAAAACTAGATAATACGTTTATTTGCAAGAAGTCATATTAGTATATTGTCTTGCGATGAATGAGGCTCATCATATATTATGTGAAATTGGAACATTTTTGAAATGGGGACAAAATTATTTATATTTTCTGAACAATATGTATGATATTCATATAAAAAATGCAGTTTTGTGTGTTTTTTTATCATATAATAGGTAATTGATTCAACAACAGTACGTAAGATATTCACATAATACTCGTAACTATGGCCCCAACGTTAACATTGTTTTTGATGGATATAATAATGATGGAACTGAAGTTATTATTTACTACTATTATTTGAAGAAGTGCCTAAGATATTCATATAATAACTATAGCACCAACGTTAAAATTGTTTTTGACGGATATAATAATGAAGATTAATATCCTAAGAAATATAACACTCAGAGTTTTAAAGATATCAAACCCCAAACATTGAAATTAAAATATACATTTCATTAAAGGATATCTGAAACTTATGATATCTGAAACGAAATAATTATCCAACCAAATTACATAATAAAATAATAAATAAAAACTATCTGACGCAAAACACACACAAAGAATAACAAATACGAAAGATTCCAAAAATGTTTCTTCAAAATTCCATTTATTCGTAATCTGTCTGAAATACCAGCATACAGCCTAAAAGATGAAAATGCACAAATAGCTTTTCAAAAAGAAAATACTCTCAAAGTTTTTTCGAAACTGTCACTCCACTCAAATCACAATATAATTTACAAGATCCCATGTCAAGATTGTGATGCAGTTTGTATAGGATAGACGAAACAATATTTAAAATAAAACATTGCCAAACACAAACACAGTCTCCAAATTTAATACTGAAAAAAAATCAAATTTCATTACTAGAATATGCCTCTAACAATTTACATCAGTTCAATTTTGATCACACCAAGATTATTGCTCAAGAATATATTCTGGAAAAAAAACTCTTACGTAAAATGATGAAAATCAAAAAAATAATTATAGTATAAATGAAAGAACAGAGATAAATAAATTAACTATTATGGATTTTATATGCATTAAAAACCTATAATATTTTTGCATTTTTTTATGACGATAGCAGATACAAAATTCACCATTCCATTATTAACTACTCCGAACAGCAAGAAAGAGCTCAACGTATTGTCGTTTGAATTCACAACCTGGTGCAGAAAAAAATCATTAGTAGTGAATTCAAGCAAAACAGTGGTGATGCATTTTTACTATAGAACGATTAAAAAAATTAGTCCACTTGTGGTCGGGATAGGAAAAGAGATTATTGCATCATCAGACAAAACCAAATTTTTTGGTACGGTCATAGATAGCAACATGTCGTGGGAGTCAAGTATAGCTCAAGTGAATAAAAAATTCGATTCGGTGTACTATGCTATTAGACAATTGAGATCGGTATTCAAACAGAAAACAGCTCCTAAATGTTTATTTTGCCCTTATATACTGTCACATCTCATATAATATCGCTGTGTAGGATTGTTCCTCCAATCTTCATAGAATTTTTGTGTCCCAGAAAAGGGTTATACGACTAATATTCAAATTACAGTGCCGAGAGTCTTGCAAAAAAACTTTTGTTGAAAATGGAATTATGTGTGTACCATGTATATATATTTACAAGTGCATACTAGTATTCAAGAAATACTCACACGATCACCATTGAAACTCTGAAATTCATTCGTACCCAACGAGACATGGTAATTTGATAAGGCTTCAAAAACACTCTACATCGTTTTTTGAAAAGTGTCCATCTTTCGCAAGTGCAAAATTTTTCAATAATATTCCTGTAAATTAAGAAATGAAAAAAAAATTAATATTTTCAAAGTCAAACTGAAAGAGTTCTTGATTAACGGTTGCTTTTACAGTACAGCAGAATATTTGAGTCAATATGAGGACTGATAATATAAGAGTTGATAATGAAATATGCTTTGTGAAATATTCTATCTGTATGTTTGTATGTCATATATATGTAAATGTGTTTTTGTGCATATATGTATGTATTTTATTTTCCATATGACGTATCCTATATCATTTTATGATCTTGAAGGATTTAATAAACATTATTATTATTGTTATTATCAACATTATTATTACTGTGTGCAGAATATTCCATCACTCCCATCTCGTTCATCCACCCTCACTCCTCCGGAGCGGTCCTCAACTTACTGATGGGCACTTCAGCAAGATTGACATCTGACCGTCTTTCGTCGAATGTATTGTTTTATCTTGACTTTCCTAACTGAATTTTTTGATGGGGTCCCCAAAAACTAATAGGAGACTATTGTTTTAAAAATAAGAGATCGCGGTCGAGTGTTTCTCGTTGGACCTGAAAAGGAAGTGTTTGTTATCAGTTAGACATTTTTTTATACTTACCGGAGAGGTGGTCGTTGGTTCTGCTTGGTTGAGCTCCATCTGCTGGCAGAGGCACAGAATATATTCTTTATTTCTTCTTTATTGGCTTTTCTTCAGGACACCGTATAGAAGTAAACACTTCTTGTTAAGTTTTTATCGAATTTAATTTTTTGTTGGTTTTAGTGGATTTTTTATTCGTTTATTTTGTTGTAATGTAACTTTCGTTTCTATATTACTATTTATATTGGTGTTATCGGCATCGACTACATTGGTCATTAGCCTCGTGTCCTAGGTAGGCAATGTTAATAACTCCCCAAAAGCCACCTAAGGAACATCATGGGTATTCGCAGTCCGTCAGCCATGTAACGTTGCAGAATGATCCTAGCTTCAACTAAATAAATTCTCTCGAGCAAAATATCTGGTCGAGGTTGAGATCGAACTACCATTGCGCCAACTCGCGGCTGAATATTTATATTATCTTCATTTTTTTAAATAGATTATTCTATAATAGTATCTATAATCTTTGTCTATATACAATGGTATAATGACTATATTGCAAATATATAAAATTCTGATGATTACAAACGTAAGTAACTTTTGCAAAATTGAAACATAAAAACCATTTTTGATTACCAATGACACAAACACATTATGAACGCACTGCAATAGTGGCCTCTGAATAATTTAAATTTTTAGAAAACATCAGAAGATAATTCAATTAGTTTTCAACATCGTTTTCACCAAGCAGCAGCCTCTTATGACCAACCTTTGAAAGTTTTCAGGAGATTCTATATATATTTTTTTATGACCATCATTTGAGCATATCGTTTATAATGAATTATATTATATCAAGTAAAGTACCTAGAAATTGATATACCTACATATGATGACGAGAGCCTCAAGACTTATACTGCCCCAATTTTGATTTAGCAGTACAGAACTGAAAATTCGTGAAAATAAATAAAGTATGAGAATTCAAAAAATTTCAATTGTTGGGATGATCCATTTCAAAATGAAAGAAGTCGGATAAATATTCTAAGATTGTAGATAATTTCGTTGGCCAATTGAAATCCACGATGAAATGCACACACTGTGGATACTCTTCAGTAACATTTGATCCTTTCTGGGATTTGTCTCTCTCCATACCACAAAGAACCGACCAATTGAGTTTGTAGCAATGCTTAGATTATTTCACAAGAGAAGAAACTTTGGATGCAATTGAAAAACCGACGTGTTCGAAATGCAAGGAAAGGAGAAAATGCATAAAGTCCCTATCAATCCACAAGTTTCCCTATATTTTAGTAATACATTTAAAAAGATTCTCTCCAACGGAAAGTAGAGGCAAATTGAATGATGTCATCGAATTTCCTCTAGAAGGATTGGATATGGACAATTTTGCAGGAGAAAATGTGGCTACTTGTTATAATCTATATGCACTTTCAAATCACAGTGGGACTACTAACAGAGGACATTATACAGCATACTGCAGACACCCGTATACTAGCGCGTGGCACAAATACAACGATTCACACGTGTCACCAATTTCACCAAAGTCGCTTGTGAGTGGAGAAGCATACGTCCTCTTTTATGTAAAGGATGGAACAAAATCGCGCCTTTAAGATAACCGAGGGAAAGTTTAACTTTTAGTTTCTTCAATTTTGTAATTTTTTTTCAACTTCTCATTTTTGTAAATATTGGTGGATGTATTTTATCCACTTCCAATTACTCATCCATTTGAGAAAGTTGGAAATATATGATTCTATATGAGTTTCTAACCTTTCACAATCTGAAATATAAACAAAACTGAAATTATGGAGAAACTCTTGAAGTTAATGAAGAACAAACTTAAAATTTCATTCAGAAAATTTAATGTTATATGCGAGTAAACCAGTGAAACTTCCAATCAATCACAAGCGCTGTCCCAGACTAAAAGTTAACTGTTTGGTGTTCCTTGTTCTCTTGTATAAGGAGCATTACATAAAAGTATGTATTTTATAGAGTATTTTATTGATGACCTATGTGTATTATTTTCTGGTCCCAACTGTTTTCTATTTTCCAATAGAAAGACATTTCCAGCCTTGCGATCCTTACTTCAGTTTTAACAAGAAAAAATCCATCTATAAGATAACGGAACTAACAATAAATAGTGGCGCCCAAGAAAACCCAATGAAATATACACCCTGCATGTATCACCACCAGTACACGTGACATAGAATAAAAAGATAATACCTCGTTAATCTTCAACTCGCATGAGGTTACACTTCTGAGGGTCATCTTTCGTACGAGACCTATAGCTGGTTAACAGAAAAACATAAGTATTTTTATTTAGCTCATTTGTAAGGTGGATAACATTCATAAACCTTGATTTTGCTAATAAAACATTTAAATCCCCCAAAAATAAAGATTTCACTGGCTCAAGTATATTTGCGTATCGGTAAAATAAGAGATCTCATTAATTGTCTTTATCATTCTCTCTTTCTTTCTTCAATCAACTATGCATGGTATGAATTAAAATCCTTTATTAAACAATATAGGAACAGCCTTAACGAAATTGTAACAAAAATGGATTTATCACACAATGAATTATTGACTAAACTATCATATATAATTTTATAACCAAAATCAAATGACTTCCTAAGCCTTCTGGAGGTACTCATCAAACAAGAACAGAGACAGTGAGCTGTCCGGACCGTCCAACAAATCACTCAAATCGGTGGTGTAGCCAGCTAACTTCCTGATCACATCTCTTTGTTTATGAACGAACTCCTTCTCCAAATGATCCGAAATTTCGGGATCGTGGAAGCTCTTGCTCTTCCTTGTAGCTTCGCTGTGAATTTCGTGAGCCTCCAGAGCGAATTTCTTCTCAAAATCCAGAGCTTTGGCAACAGCAGCCAGTTCGTATAGTTCGAAACTGCGATCCACCTCGTTCTCCAGAGCCAAATCCTCGGAAATTGCTGCGAAGTTCATGTAACCTCCGCGTTTGGTAATGTACTTGATGAGCTCGATACCTTCCTCCCATTTGCTATCGGAGAGAGATCGGAAAAGCTTCTCAAATCCTGCACGGTTCTTTTCGTAGTTGGCGAAATGGGTGGACATCAGCAAATATTCGAAGGACCGGATGAAGTGGTGGTTGGCAAACTTCTGTAGCTCCGGTTGAACTGCATCGATAGCTCCATATCTGGCAGTACAGTTAAGAGTGGAAGTATCTGAAATAAGGAGAGAATATCATTAGTATTCTAATAATTGAATGTATTTTCAATTTCCGTTACTCATTACACGAGTTTTTCCCTTGATTTTGAATCAAATGAAAATGTAAGTCAGATAATCGATACAAGTTCAAGTAATTGTAAACTTCTGATTGCATGATGTGAAAAACCTCGAGCAAGACTTTCAACAGATTGGCTGCCCATACATAAAATATATCATTTTTGGGGCAGTTCAGATTTTCGTGATGTTCTTGTGGAACCAACCGTTAGTTGAAAATGGAAAAAGAACTTCGAACGGTTGCCAGTGAGAACAGCTACTCCCCTTTGTATAAAGAATGATTAAAATTTGTGCTTCATCAGGAAAAAAACTAGTTATTGTAATACTGCTTTAGCAACATTTCTAATACACTTGTGAATAGTTGTGAATAGTGATGACTGAGGCGGTATAGCGATACCGGGTATTTTTACGGCAGGTACAGATAGTTTTCTCATTTCTGGTCAATAAATAACTCTACTATTAGAAAGAGTTAACCTTCACAAGATTTTTAGAGGTTGAAGCAAGGTCCTATTGGATAAGATTTTATTGAGATCTTCATGCAAAACTGTAGATCGGGTATGTCAATATAAACTGCAATAACTGAACCTTGAGGTACGCCAGCAGTTGAAGCGTTCAAAAACATTGTTTTGTCATAGAACAGAATTGGCCTGAAAATGCTTAACGACTCACTCATATAGTAATGAACTCGTTAGGAAACAAGAGGATTGTGCCGAATTCTTGGGGTTCTTCTTGCATACTCTTCGTGAGCAAAAAATAGCAGAATCAATACTCCTGACCGCTCTGGATTGTACTACTTTGTAGTAAATGTTCAAGAGGTAGCAAAAACGTATGTGATTTTCTGGAATTTCAACTAGCGTTTCCTAACATGACTGGTAACCAGTCCGCGAAAAGCTTTATGTTAGATTATCTGAAAATTGAACTTTTAACGGGTGTTGAGACACTGTATTTACAAACATGCGCTTAACTGACTATTATAAGAAAGCAAGTATAGCTGATCCACCAGTCAATCTAATAACAACACAGATGATCTTCAAACATGACTCAACCTCTGACGGAAGCACCAAACTCTTACGAAGGTTCGAAATACATGAACACTTCAATCTGGCAGACCACTATTATAATCTTTATGCAGTCATTGTTCAATGTGGTTCTGGTGTTTAATCTGGTCATTATTACGCATTGGTCAAAGATAAAACGAAATGGCTTAAGTTTGACGATAGTCGTGTCACTAACTGTTCTGGCGATGTCTTGAATTTATTGAAGCCTCTGGAGACACCCTATATTTTGTTTTATGAAAGAGAGGACATTGGCAAATCAAGATCTTCAGATGATGTGGTGCTGCAGGTTTTTCCAAGTTTTCCTGCAGCTGAAAAAGTAAATGCGCCACTGGAATCAATGAAGTCGCCCCGGAGCGCCAATTAATTTTTGTTGTTGTTTCATAATTTCATTATTTGTATTACTTTCTTGATAAACAGAAAATATGCAAAAAAATCAATATTTGGGAAAAAATAAACATCATCAATGCAAAGAGTACAATATTCTTTATCGATCAATATATATCACGACACGATAGAATAAATTCCTATTAAGGTATGGAGCTACAAAAACACATGACATTAAAACGTAGAAAACTTTTGAGACAACATATAGAAATGTTTATATTGAAGTGTTTTATCTCAATCGAAAAGAAGGTAATTCGTCATATTCCGTATAAAATCCTAAACCATCACTATTGAACTTTCAATCCGCCAATGACTCGTTAATACTGAGAAGTCAATTCCTTTTATACTAGTGACTCATAGATGCAAATGAAACTATTTTTGTGGTGGATACAAACTATCATTCGACTCATTCATAATCATAAATATAATATGAATATGTGAATAAAAAGTAGAGTAATTTTTATAAACATGAATTGATTGTTATAAAACAAATATAAAAGATTCAAACTTTGGTCCAACAAAAAAAACATGAAAATGAATCAGAAGACGATACTAAAAACAGCTAAAAACAGAATAAAATTAACCAAACTCAGAAATTCAAAAATTGCCTGAGTGGATCATATTACTTCTTGGGCTAGGCGCAAATTGAGCGCGTGAGCTGACCTTTGCGAGACGAACGTGTCACAAGCGTAGCGTGAATGATCCGCAAATGGAATATTCCTGGTGTGATCACTTGAACGACCCCTTCTCCATATAAACTAGTTTCTCAAAAACTCTGGACCTACGGCACTCTTGATGAAGAAGTAATAAAGAGATTCAATAAATATCAGTATTCCATTCATAGATAGGGATCTAGACGCAAATTGAGCATGTCTGAACTGACCTGTATGAGCCGCACGTGGCTAACGCGTAGCGTAGATGATCCGCAAATTGACAGCAGTTTCAAAGTGATAATCTTACCGCTTACCGGAATCAGAATCCGACAATAATGCTGAAGACGAACTTTTGCTTTATTGTTTGCTCGTTAATAATAAAGTAAAATCACCCAACAAGAATATTCTCTAGGAAAGGAAAAAATGTGGACAGTTTATGATATCAAAGAAGATGAGTGATAGTGATTTAAGTAATTACTTCCGAATGAATCAAAATGAATTTTGCAGAAGTGCATAGTATGATCCAAAGGGATGTAATGCCCAACAACCTATTCCTATTGAGCATACAAAGCCGGACACGAAGTTGCGCGACTAGCATAACACGTGACTAGCGTGACACATGACTCGCGTGGAACAGTGTTGATACACAATTTTTCGTGCCAATTCTTTCGCGTGTCGCCAAAGGCTTTATCTATGTAAAGTCATATCACAGAACTCATATGGGTTTTTGTAATTCAGTAATATATAAAATAAGAATAATTTATTTTTATCTCTTATTAGAAAATGTAAATTCTTACGATATAGTTACAATGTATTATAAAGTGTTTCTATAATCATTGCAATTTATCAAAAAATATAACATTCTAGTGAAGTACTCGTATTTCTGGTTTTGTTATCACAAAAAAAGGTTATTTCAATCAAGATAACCTTACAAAGGTTGTGTAACAATGATAATGTTTTTAAACGCTATTAATGAATATTTAAAAGTATTATGGGTTGCAAATTAATGAAAATAATAAAAAACGGACCATATGAAATAGACCTCTTTCTCAATTGTAATATGACTAATAGGTTGCAAGGTAATTTGATGCATATCATAAAATTACGATTAGTCACTTTATATAGTGTGAATTATTACAAAGAGAAAGGATTTTGTGAAATATTATAGCAAGTTGATCTATAGACCAATTTATGAATTGAAAAACATGTTATTTCTTGCTACTGCATACCACTGAATAATGACCTTAAAATTCGAAAAAATATGGATTTAAGGACAGTTAGATATTTGAAATATTAGAAGATTAAAAATAGGTTTGTTATCAGAAAAAAAAAAAGATACGTAATATTTGTTATCCAATTTTAATTTTAGAATAAACAAATTCTCATCAATAAAGATTTATATTTTTCATTCAGCAAAAAATAACGAATTCAATCATTTGTATCTTAAAAATGTTTCTATATTTTTCTGAATCTAAACAGAAGATATTATGGATGAAAAATATCTTTTTTTCTTCATTGTGAGTAATAGCAAGTTCATGATTTAAAATCCAAAATTGTCTCGAAATATTTTGTTCAAACAATAAAAAGCAACATTTTTTGGCACTTTAAAAACGTTTGGAAAAAAATATTATTTTTATTAATGATTGTATTTATTCAATAATTAGCGAAATTCCTACTTCAAATTTTTCACAGTATCATTGACAACGGGAGAACTTTTTTGTCAATGTTTTTTAGTCAAGTAAAATAAACAAATAATTGATACTTGAATTATATTTTTGGAATACAGAATACTTTGATGAAACATGTTTATATTTTCCTAGTTTGGTAAGAAATCGACTGTAATTTAAGCACTTTCATGCAATATTTATATTAAAATAATTATGAAGATGATTATTTTAATATAAATATGATGAAAATTAATGACTTTATCTATGATAATGATCAAGCAACTTTCACAAATAACTTTTTTTCATACCGATGTCTTCACAGAGAATTTTAATAAGGAATTAAACCTGATAAAAAACCACTGCAGGTTTGTTCCACTACTTAACCTCCCAATTAGAAATTAGTTCAGGATAACCTAACATGTCTTCTGTTTAGTTTCATCCTTTCTTGAATAATTGGTTTCTGTTATCGCCGAAATAGAAATTGATGATGCTGTGTTGAAGAATACCCAATAATAGATATCTAACGAGTATTTCAATTTTGTATTTGAATATTCACCCTATAGTAAGTAAACGGAAGTGCTTGAATCACAGTCGATTTAACCCCAAAATACGAAATTCATATTCAAAATAGGAAAGACAAAATATCTTATTTGTTACGACTGTTTACTTGAAAATGGTTCAATAAACCTAAACCGGTCGTAACAAATAAAAATATCAGTGGAAATTAGACAAAATTTATTTTCTCTATCCTATACGAAAGTAGAAATATTTTCCATCAAAGTTGACAATTTTTTTCGAAAAACAGTAAGTATGTCAAAAGTTAGACCTTTGAGATATTCATTCATATCTTGATAAATATACCACCCAAAATGAGAACAGAACAGGATACCTACTAATAATTGTGTGGATAAAATATGTACCAATTCATTTAAGCTGCCTCAATTCTTGTCTGGAATTAATAAATGACAAATATTGGCAAATATGGTGCAATAAAATGTATTATCTGCAATATCATTGTAAAATTAGATATTGTTTTCACATTTCAATCTGGTATAATAATTATGTTTACTGTCTACAATCCTAACGGTTTTAATTTATTGTATGGAAAGTTGTTTATTCAATGAAAAATCTCCAGTTCGTCGAATAGATGAAAGTCCGTCTTTGGCAGAAACCACATTGTACATCTTGCATTTTCGACTGCACAAAATATTAAGTAGTATTAGTGTAGTATACGATGGGTATAACATAACTTATAAGAATGTATTTTGCAATGAAATTTTTCATTGTCTAGTAAATGATAGCCTTAATATTCTATATTTTTATCCGGTCCGTTAAACGCAAATGGTGGGTGTGTAAGGTCTAAATGTATTTCTTATCAAATTTTTTCGAACTGACATAGTTAATATAGCACTATGATGCTCAATCTCTCTCAATGATATATAGATACTTCTGTGTCCTCGGTTTTTCCGTAAACTCCTCTCAATGCGTTGAAAATATCTTTTGAATGACTGAAGTCTACCAGATTTTTTTACCGGGGTACAATTCCCCATACAATATAGATCCAGTAGCATTTCTCAAACATATCGCGTATTCAAAAAGCAAAAGTTTTTTTGTTACCAGGAGTGGGTTTCTGAAATAGTCGATTTTGTAAAAATTTCGACCGACTTTTAAAGGTGAATTTTTGCACATTCGATTAACAAAGAACAAGTAACAAGTTTCAATTATTAATTACTAAAGGGCAAGTAACAAAAAAGGTGTTTATGCATTCCCAATTGAAAAGTCGAAATGAAATAGTGCAAGCGCTTGAGCTTTTATCGGAAAAAAATCTGTAAGATCAGCTACCTTAGTGTATACCTACTATTGTGTATTTTTAACACACATTTTTAACACAACGAATAATTACTCGTCTCAATGAAATTTATCCTTACCGTCTTCCGTTAGAAGATACGTAGTCAATTGAATTCAAAGTCCATGTTGATGATTGAGGTTATAATTGATGAAATACCTAATGAGCTTTTCAAAAGAATATCTATAATACTCTCTGATAGGTAGGTATATACTCTTGTATACTATTGCTTCAGGTTATTAAACACATTCTTAAAAAAGACAAACTATGAAATGAACATTCGTTTTTCTTACTTTTTAAATCATAATGAGTGCTATGATTCAAAAAGTAAGGAAAACAAATGTTCATTTGATAGTTTTTTAAGAATGCGGGTAATAACCTGAAGCAATTGTGAACAAAACAAAAAAAATTCGAACACAACAATTAGGTACGTAACACATTCACAAGACAGGAAATGAAATAAGTATTGACCATGTAGACACTCCACAAGTCCAGTTCAATAGTTTATAGATTTTCAAGGTCAGATCTACAGGACTGGGTACTCAATCATCCTCGTCTGTCAAGGCCAACAACAACCTTCAAAATCAAAACACCAAAACAAAGGATGGTATGTACTCACATTTTTTATTGGTCGTTTTGCAGGCCTCAACTGCGTCCTTGTAACAATAGTCATCAGCCGCAGATGCAACAGCGCAAAAGATAGCGATAACGATGAAAACCTTCATGATCCCTAAAAAATATATATTAGGTACTTGTCCAACGACTCGAACTAAAAATGTTTCTAACCTGGTATCTCGCCAGCGTAATCACGAGTAAAACTTATTCCAAAATACAAAACAAATTTTATTGGTGCGTAGCAATAACCCCAGACAAACGTAAGCGATTGTAGTTCTAGACGGCGTGCGCAACAGTGTAGAACACACCGGAATTCCAGAGACGGATTGGGTCAAAATAATGAATTTCAAGAAGAGATAAAATATTTTAAAATTGAAAATCAGTCGTCAATTGTGTATCATTTGTTTTACTAGCGACATTTTCTACAGGTTGGAGATATTATTTTACCAATCGTGACACAAAGTCGAGGCTATTATAATTTTCTTGATAACATTTTAGTAAAGTAAACCATTACTACAAATAAGGGGCAAAGAATGAGTGATATTTTTTATTTCAAATTAACCTTCACGAGATCATACATAGGTGGGCAAATTCGTAATATAGTTTATTGAATATTACCGGAGTTATTTCAGTTTGATCTTTCTCTTGAAGATGATCACTTGGTGATCAAAACACGTGTCGAGGTGTTAAAATAACGGTTTAGTGTTGGGAAAAAACTCCAGTAATAATCATTACTAGACCAAAAGTTTCAAACAGTGCATCACAAATATAGTTTATTGTTATATTGGATCAATTATTAGATGTAGGTGATGATTAAAGGAGTAGATGAATTTTGAATAGTCTATGAAATTTTGATTTGTCTAATACATCAGACTGTTGTCATTGAATCCACGGTAACAAAAAGCCCTACAAATTTCAAACACCAAAACTATCTACAACAGTAAATATGTAACCAATATGTCTCAAATGTCTAATAAATTTAAAAAATTAGCAAATTTGACCAAAACCATGTTAGTAAAAATTAGAGTACATTTAAAAAATTCTGACTCGACGTGTAGAGCTGAATCAATACTTTTCCAGTTCTTCAATGCTTGATTTTCTTTACGATGGTATCGAGATGGGAATTATTTGATTCTACTCGTTCTTTGAACAAATCAATTTCGAATTCTGTTAGATTTTTTTTGTAAATATCATAGTATGCTTAGTCACACAAGATACCGCAGACAATTGTTTGTGTTCATTTCTCCAAAACAAACACTTTTCCCAAACATCACTCTTCTTGACGCGCGTTACACCAATCAAGGTGGCGACTTCAGGAGATGAAGAACGCTGATTACTTGATAATTGTATTTCTCTGTTGTTTGGACAAAAAAAGTTGGTAATATTTTTCGCAAACTCATGTTTGATAATTTCTGAATGAAAAATATGGTATTATGAATAGTACAAATGTTTTAAATTAGAAAAATCATATTTCTAATTAGCATTTTTGGAAATACGACCAAGTTGATTCCACTTAATGGTGGATAGCCATCAACAAGTTAAATGCTTACAGCAAAGATTCATTATACTTGAATTCAGGTCCACTCATTGTTTAAAGCTATCAGGGAATTTTGCGGTGAAGAATAGTTTTTGAAGTGCCTTTTTCCTAAGGAAGTCCATAGTCGAATATTTGTATTGAGTTGTTAGTTGCGGGTTATCTCCGTTTTTATGAATCCTATTCAAAGAATCATATTTTTTAGACACCAATCTGAACTATTTATTGTATTTCCATATTTCAGCTATTCACACACCTTATTGAAGTACGCAAAAGGACGCTTGATTCGATATAAAATTCATTTCGTGGTATAAAGAAAGTGATTGAAAAAATTCAATCCAACATCAGTAGTTTTTGATCACAAATATATTCATCGAGTTATGTTTGGATGAGGGGTAGTATGGGGATAAAGCAAAACTTCGACGGGTAACTGTAGGTTGACCACTTCGGGGCTCATCTCCGAGGCTAACATCTCCGGCTCAAAATTTAAATTCAGAAAGAAATGGACAGCATCAATGTATAGAGTACAACCTATACACCGATGGCATGGCTCTTCTCTCGTTTCCATGGTCGAGAGCTCGGCGTCGTCTACATGCAACGTGCATTGGACAACCTGGTACCTCGATTGGAAGATCCGAGTGAACCCGGACAAGACTCAGGCGATAACCTTGGGAAGATTGCTATCTTCTCCGGCCAGAAAAGTGAGAATCTCTGGAAGGGAGATTGACTGGCAAGCGCGGGTAAAGTACCTCGGCCTTCTAATAGACCGTAGGCTCACTTGGAACCCGAACATTATGTACGTCAAATCATAGACAGAGGGTCGGATTGCAAGTCTGTACCCTCTGATCAACAGAAATTCTAAAATGAGTTTGAAGAACAAGATTACCATCTACAATACGATGTTCAAGACTGTCATCATGTATGCTTCAGGCGTCTGGGGACAAGCGGCGAAATATAATATCTCCATTCTGGAGGTATTGCAAAATAAGCTAATGAGGATGATTGTGAATACTCCCTGGATCGTGCGGAATGAAACCATCCGCAGAGATTTTCAGGTGCCTTCCATTCGGCAGTCCATTCAGTCGAGGAATCGGCGAGTTTTTGAAGGTGCGGAAACTCACGAAAATCCGTCAGTTAGGGAAGCTATAGATTATGCTGTAGACGACCTCTCCCGATATAGAAGGCCCCGACACTCTGTCGAATGAGGTCCTCTTGTCCCACGTTAAAAAATGAACAGATCTTTCATCCATTTCACCCCAGCCAGGTAGGGGTACCCCGTGAAGGGCGGCACTGATGTCTGAGGACTTCATGCCGTCATCATCTCCTCAGTCATGAACTCATTTGTCATTCTTCGACAAAAATCAGCCAAAAGGGTAAGGGAGCTGGGCTCCCACCTGAACAAACTCAAGACGACGTGCAGTATAGAGTTCAAAATTCTCTATCGATCAGTATATACCAAGACACAGTAGAACAAATATTTATTGAGATATGGAGCTACATAACACATAACATTAATACGGACAAAACTTTCGAAACAACCAATATCATTATTCCTTGACCAACAATAAATGATGTTCGCTTTTGGGCTAATGCTTTCCTGATTACACGAACTCCGTGAACAAAGAAATCGTACAGTCATGATATGGATGCGCGGTGGGGATTGGACTTCACCCGAATCCATAGAGAGGTAAGGGGAAGAGAAGAGCTGTCATATCAAAATGTATAGGAAATAGTGTTGTGCGCAAAATATTGTATCTACATTGACTCGTGTCAGTTAAGTTTTTGTGTTAGTCCACCTTCTGCACCAGTGAGTGTAAAGGCAGGCTACGTATAGATCGAATCGATTTCGTTATACAGATATTTTTGTTAACTTTGAACTTGGATCAGCTGAATCATGAGATCCATTATCCTCGCAGTTTTCTTCGTATGTGCCATCGGCCTGGCCTCGCCAGCCTTACAATGTGAGTTCTTTTGTTCATTTTATCATTAAGGATCAGTATCATAGAATTTGTTGTTTTTTTCCATGATCGTTCTAGACTTCTACGAATTAGGCTCGGAGATGAGAGTGACTACTCAACCAAACGTAAGGAAGGTCAAGGGAAACGTATAATCTGGTGTATATTTTTGTTTCGTTATGGAACAAGAAATTTCAACTAGCTAGTACCTAGATATATCATTGGTTTGGTTATTTCAACCTTACCCTTTACTGAAAATGAATATTGCGATGGAATTGTCCGTATTGGAATTACCAACAGTTTCTGTATTTTATCTTTCAACATGAGTTTGGATTCTATGGGAACCTTAAAAAATTATCAAGGTTCAGATATATACCTATGTAGGTTTATTTTTGACATTTTACGTAAAATCACACTGAAATAGAGATATTCGAAATACATGTAGTTGTAATTTCAGAAGCGATAAAATTATCTGCCGTTTTAAATAAGATTAATAAGTCAACATCGGGTAAACTATCCGCCTGTAAATTTGAGTTGAATATTCAATTAACAGGAATGAATAATGTAGATTTTCAATTAATTTTTTTGACATCAGATTTCTAGATGTATGATTGCATTTTGCTAAATGTATCTATAAAAATATGTAACCTCATTTTAGCAGTTACTATGAACCTATATTACCTATACCGTATTCTGACTATTCTGTTTGATATATGTAACGAAACAAGGTTTCTATGAAGGTCATTAGGCCCTGCAGGCATTTTATTAAAGATGAGATGATTATAATATCCTGCTTATCATACTCCGGCCTTAACGACCTTCAGGGATGAATCTTGTATCTAGGGTATCATAAACAAATAGTTAAGTGAACAATGAAATGTAGTTTGTACGCAACTTGATGTTTACAAAACTGACTAGTTAAAAGCCATATTATCAATAGGTCATCGACATTGAAACATTTATCTTCAAAGCAAATAAATGAAATATTTGAATAGTCAGAATAAGAGTATGTTTTACGAAAAACATAATAATGATGATAATTGAATTTATTGCCCAACATTTAAAAAACATTTATTTTGATGCGCAGTTAGCAACTAGGTATTAACCAGTAATCAAAACGTTAGTGGCTCCGAAAATACCAAACTTAGAATTCGAATTTCACAGGGAATTCAATGAACGTCAAAAAATTCAATGAACGTCAAAATATTGAGTTTGTGATCAGCACAGACTTTCCAAATCAACTAAAGAATGATGTAGGTAGCAAGAATATAAACTAATTCGGTATTGAACGTAGTTTATTATTAAATTATTTTTTTTTGCAGTTTATTCATTTTATATTATTCAACATAGTGAAATGAAGGTTCAAAAACAAACATGGAAGGACTAAAACATAGAAGCAAATGATAATTAGCTTCAAATACAGTAAGTCATTTCTGCCAAAAGTTATTTGCTATCTCAGCTCCATATGAAAGGCCCTCATGTATTCAAATAAATTTATTCAGGTGTTGAAACGATGACGTCACATCATCTATGATTTGAAACGTATTCATGATGATTCAGAACTAGCGTGAGGTTGATTTTCAAACGGAATTTGACGTTATATTGCGTCAGTTGTCAGTTTCTGCTTTATTTTGATCGTTATTGTTTATGAAGTGCTGAAAACTTTTTATAAAATACGTTGTAAAGATTTACAAAATAAACCTGGGAAATTATTAAATAAATATTATAATGTATATAACACTGATAACTTTATTGGTTTCTTCATATTGTAAGTTGACTAGATGAAGAAGAATAGCTACTTGTTGGTCCATATTTTGAATAGAAAAAAAGAATTCTGGTATACTTGAATGTGCAGCTACATTTGTAATATGCATACAAAAAATTGTATGCACAAATCCGATTCTAATTAAGGTTAGAAGAAATTGAAAAGTTTGTTTTTATAGGTCGGTAGCCAGGCGGTTCGACGTGGGTGCTTTGTTCACTCACTCGAATTGACTGCCGTGCTGGTCGGTGGTTCAAGCCCCAGTCTGAACGATCGATTTTCACTTGCTATCGTCCAACCCGTGTTAGGAATCACACGTTAAAAGGTAAAACCTCGCTAATCCTTAGCTCGCACAATTTTGTACTTCTGAGGGTTGTCGTTCGTAGGGATGCGACAGCTGGTTAACGGAAAAACAGATTTTAAAACAGATTATTGAATTTTAGATCCGACACAAATTGATTCATTCCTTTCTGGCGATTCTTATTATTAACGAGGTCACTATGAATTGTTTTTGAATACACGCTCGAATACGATTGAACGCCAGAAAAAAAAGCAGATGCAGATTTGATACCACATGACTTTAGAATAAACGAAGCTAAATATATATACGCTCAATTCTATCTGGAATAACAAGTTGACATTTGTCATTTTATTTGTCGTCACAAAATATCTTACTTCACATCTTTACATATGATCGCTGTTTTTTATAGAACAGTTTATAATTTTCTTTTCAAATTTCAAACATTTTTTGACAACTAATTCAATTACAACTGAGAATGTGTTCTGAACTCTTTTTCGAAGACAATCTATGATGATGGACAAGAGTAAAAATTTTACAAGTTAATAATTCCGCAAAAATACCTGTACCTATGTTAACGATTCTTTTCAATATGAGATTTGATAACAGAAAAATCTTTTTTGATCCCAATGTTGAACATTCGAAGAGCAAGTGAGTTATCGTGCAGGGAGAGCCATATACATGATATAATATTTATGACGTCACTGGAGAGCGCAAGTCATTTTTGGGGGGAATGACAGAACGAATAAGATTATTGGGAACAAAACAACTAGTAGACGAAGGAAGTAGTTTGACTAATTCTAAAAAAAAAAAATTAATTTCAATTTTTCATATATGTATCGGTTTTTCGTATATAGTAACTTCGTCATAAACTCATTGACGAATAAATTTTAAAAGATGTTCAAACGTTTTCGAATGATTACATATCGATATTATATTGTGGATTCCAAAGTATTGACGGAAAACTGGAAAGTGAACGCTCTACACATATGAATGCAAATTTTAGATCGGGTCGTAGCATGTGGGTTACTTTCTAATTGAAGAATTGGAAATGAATAGCTGAAAATAACAATTATATTAACCAAAATAAACCTGAAATGAAATAATAGTGAAATAAAATACAAGTAAAAATAGAACAATTGAATAAATAAAAATGAAGAAATGAAAAAAGAAAATAAAAACAAAAAGTGGAGATATTCCAAGTCACGTTAGTTCACGACGTTTCGATTGTTAGTATCTACAATTGTCTTCGGGTGATGACTGGACTGATTCCTCCGAGAGATGACTATTTATAGGTCGTTCGAGTACTTTCACTTATCCCCGCTTTCCATTTTCCGCTTCACTGGTTCCGTGGGAGATGACCGTTTTGACGGGAGTTGGCCATTTTTCGCTTGATGACGAGTTTCCATATGTTGCGTATTTCTACGCTGGCTTGGCTGAATATTTTGTTGGACAACATGTATGCGGCTTCCTTGAATTTTCTCCTAAACCAATGTTCCTCTCTGTGCAAATAAATTAGTTTCAGTTCGATAGAAAGTGATGACGTGTTCTTTTAGAAACCCAATATTCAAATCTCCATTCTACTGATTATCTTGCTAATTGGTATTTCTTTGATAAATGAGTGCAGAATATATATGACTGTAAAATTATAAGTGTTGAAAGGTGAAGTGGCCGCAATATTGTGGGCAAAACAACAATTTATAACAAGATAAAATAATTTTAAAAAAATTATTCCTATCGGTATTTTCCAGAAAAAATAAGGCATGATTTGTTATCAACTCGTAAACTATGTCAAATCACTTGAATTTTGTTCAGTCCAATCTAAATATGTATTTAATGTTTAAGTTATTTTAATGAGTCAATTTTCTGTTTTGATTGGAAGAACTCATTATCTTAAGTACTGAGGAGAAACAATGATAAAAGAAATATAAATTTGTATATGTAAATTGGAATAGTTTTTGCCTGAATTTATCATTCTGCCGTTATTGAGTTTTCTAGGAAGTGTGGTAAAATATACAGATGATAAAAAAAGCCTTTCACCTTATCCATTGAAATGAAGTTGTATTGAAATAGATTTTCTGATGTCAGAAAGGAATTGAGGACTAATCATAATGGGAAAAAAGATTATACGCAACATGGAGCAGAAAACGATACTTTCATTTCGTAATGAAATACATTATCAAATTTTTGAAGGAAGGCCATTTTATTGTGAAGGAAAACAGAATTTTCTATCGACTTTTTATGAAAAAAATATAAAAATCTCAATGGAAATTTTTATACAGGTGTCGAAAGGGCAGACTTGTCAAATCACTATGATAAGTTACTGCCTAAATTCAAAGTATTTTTCACAAAGAACAATGTAACTTATCGTATCAAATAATTTTCATTATTAAAAAGCTAAAAAATTATATAGATGGTTAGTTATCTTAACGTTTCGTGGGCTAAAATCTGATTAAATTTTGAGAATTGGAAAATATCTAAGGATTCTTGCAAATTTTTTCTTCACTTCGTTCTATTTTCGTCCTCGGTAGATTAATTTTTTCCGAATGTGGAAGGTGAAAGTGCCCAAAACAACTCTATAAAAAATCATTGAATTATTTCAAACCTAAAAATTATCATGATACTATTGTACTATATTGGTATTTTGACAATAAGTAATTGCAAGATTAACTGATTTCAAATTTTGTAATTTTTTTTTATTGTAAAGTTCAAAATAATAATTTCTTAGCAATTACATGTTATTAAGAAGTATCATTTAACAATATATTTTACTTTCAGGTTCCCACAAAGAACTGGATATTCCCAAAGATTGGATAGACATGGACCAACTCTGTATCCAAAAAATGAGAGGTCAAGTGGAAGAGGAACTGAAAGCTGCCATGCAGTACATGGCAATGGGTGCTCATTTCTCCAAAGATACTGTTAACAGGCCTGGTTTTGCTGATATGTTCTTCAAATCGGCAAGTGAAGAAAGAGAACACGCCATCAAACTTATCTCCTACCTGCTCATGAGAGGAGAACTCACTTCCAAAGTTAGCAGTCTCATCAAGAGAAATGTAAGTGTATAATGTCCAACCCAAACTTATACAGAAGTTTCTGCCACATTTCTGTTGTAAACATCAAAAGTTTTCTTATTTGATAGTTGTGGCGACATCTATGTTTGATGTATGCGATATACATATTAGTTAGCAACACTGCCGCGCGTTTCTTTTGTATCCAAAGTAGTTGAATGAAAGCTTTCAACTTTTGCTTTTTCTATAAGAGTCTGCTATTCAAAATAACAGGTTATGGGCCCAGCACAATGGCTTCGTCAAGCGAGGAGTAAAGACACGTCCGAAGAAGCCATTGTATGGCGAAACACGTGTTGCGTTTTTGTAAAACTGTTTAGTGAAAAGCTCACAATAAAGTGTTTTTTGAGTACGTTTCTTTCAAATGAACTTCTTGGGAAATTAGATTGTATTGACTTACTTACTGATAATCAAAACGATCAAAAGTTAGCTGAATCCAGTCTTCCATGATAGGTCAAAACATATAGATATAGAATACCATTTTTGAGAATTATAATATCTAAATATATTATAAATTTGAAATATTTGGCAACAGTTGAAATAGTTGCCGATATATTGAGCAAACCATTACAAAATGTTAAAAATAGAAAATTTGTAAAAGCTTTGGGTTTAGGTAATTTTTTTTTTCTCTCAGCGATATTTTGTTAAGTGGAGGTGTTGAAAATACCATAGGTTCTCTTGTTTTATATTTGTGGCGACATCTATGTTTAGTGTATGCAATATCCAATTGTTAGTTGGTGACAGTGCCATGCGTTTGTTTTATATTAAAAGTAGTTGAATAAAAGCTTTCATAGCGACAACCTTTTTTCAACAACTTTGGCTTCATCTATAACAGTCTGCTATTCAAAATAACAATTTCAATATATGAAATGTGTGAGATTTAAAGATATCTATGAGAGTTCTTCACTTTCATTCACCTAGATACTCAGTACTTTTTTCATATCTATGTAGCATTGATCAATTCGTTTCGATAAGACAGAAGAGAAAGAGAAATGTTTATTCATTTTTGGTTTTGTCGCTAGATGGTACATGGTGATATAAGGAGGAGCCCTGTTATAGACTTATGCCTCTTCAGGGTAGTTTTGATAGCATCTAGTCAAATCATTTCAACTTTCAATTCACTTTCACAAACTAGCTTGTAGGTTGAATAATCATCATTCTCAATTCGATTATGACTGCATTGCTGACTTCTGGTTTACTTCAGCAGTGAACTAGAAGAAAGTTTCAAAATTATGTACTCATGAGTTTTTTAGATATAAGATTCCTTAAACTTGAAATAATATCACCTATACATTTTGATACGGGCTTTCTTTTGGATTTCCATTTTGTCGACAATACTTTGATGTCAGCTCCCTCTGTTGACATAATCGAAACTAGACAGGTTGTGTTTTCATCTCGCAATTGTGTTCACACTGATTATAGTTTGTTGTATATTCCTGTAATTTTGCTTTGCACAATAATTGTATGAACCAGCGAGTATTATTGATATTTCAAATATATGTTTTTGAAAAGTGATAATATATACATATATTATAGAAACCCCCCATATAGCGCAATATTGGTTTCATTTTTAGTAAAAATCGAAGTGACCTTCCGTTGTTATCTATTTCATCCCTAGGTAGCTTGGTAAGAAAATTCAAAAACGGAGCTACATTTAAATGTTTCAGATAGTCGAAGTTTGAAAAACCGATATTTTGTTTTTGTTATAGTTCCTTTTTTCGTATCTGATAAATATCAGTATTTTCTACACTCCATCTAAGTCTTAATTGTATTCAATCGAGTCTCCGGACGTGAAAGCCCATGTTCTTATATTCAAGTCTTCTTAGCTATAAAAGTTTCAGAAATATTATTATATCACTGATTTTACAGTTTATCTTATGGGCCGCAGTGCTGAGATGTTGAACTTGCAATCCATTAAAATTTACAGGTTTTGGCATGCTGTTTGGCGTGAATGATGTTCCAAAATAGAATAATGCAATTATTTTCTTGCAGCTTATGCCAGCCCAAACAACTTGGATCAACGGAGTCAGTGCATTGAAAGATGCTCTCAGATTAGAAGCTTCTGTAACCAGGAAAATCCGTGATGTCATCAAAGTATGTGAGGGAGCAACTTCTTATAATGACTATCATGTAAGTAGCTTTTTAACAGTTCTATGATTTTCACTTTCCAGAAATTTAAGTTTTGCACTAAATCTAATGTTGCAAGACTCCAATTCGTCAAACACAAAATTTTTCCAACAATTTCAATTGTTGTTATTATATTTTTCAGCTTGTTGATTACCTTACTGGAGACTTCTTAGAAGAACAGTATCATGGTCAACGTGACATCGCCGGAAAAGTTTCTACTCTGGAAAAGATGACGGAGAAACATGGCGCCCTTGGAGAATGGCTGTTTGATAAGAAGCTCCTCAAGGGAGAGTTGTAATTTTAACATTTGAAATTTAATATTTGTTCAACCATCTAGAAATAGTTCATTGCCAATGTTGAATACCTTACATACCACTTGTGATATATTTACTATTTCATTTTGTATTGATTTTCTAGTTATGTTTGAGTAGTGTTTAAGTGGAACATTAATGAGATAAAAAAAGTTTTGTGATTCAATAAAGTTGATTATTTTAATGATTTCTTGTCTACGACTATTGATAAACGGGTCGTGAAGTTTTCATGAATAATCATAGTGAATCGAAATTTCTCATCAAAATCCGTCCGGAGTGAGACGGTAGCCGGTTGGGTTGGTGTGGATGGTTTGTTCTACTCAATTGACCACTGAGAACCACTGGTTCAAGGCGCGAGGGTGAACGATCGATTTTCCTGGTCAAGAATCATGTCTGGCATACCCGACCTGCAAGAATTCCTGCCGACCTCCAAGGTTTATTTTCAATTTTATGAGAAATGTAAATTTTTTTTAATACTCAAAGAGTGAGGGTTGAGAATTTTTTTCTCGAAAATAATTAACTTGGTCGAGATTCATGTCTTGCAGAACCGATCTGCAAGGTTTATTTTCAATTTTATGAGAAATGTGAAATTTTTTCATACTCAAAGGGTGGGGGTTACATTTTTTTTGTCAACAGTGATTAACCTGGTCAAGATTCATACCTTGGAGGTCCGACCTGCAAGAATTTCTGACAACCTGCAAAAAGTATTTTAAACTTTTTCAGAATCGTGAAATTTTTGGGTTGGAATTTTTTTATCGAAAATGATCAACCTGTAAAAATTTCTGGCGACCTGCAAGGTTAATTTTCAATTCTATGAGAAATGTGAAATTTTTTCATACTCAAAGGGGTGTTGAATTTTTTTCTTTGAAAATGATTGACCTGGTCGAGATTATTCATGTCTGGCAGACCCGACCTGCAAGAATTTCTGCCTACCTGCAAGAATTTCTGCCTGCCTGCAAGAATTTCTGCCTACCTGCAAGGTTCATTTTCAATTTTATGAGAAATTTGAAATTTTTTCATACT